ATCCATACACCAAAATTTGTCTCTCTTCCTCGTCATTATTATCTGCTCATCGATTTACTGGCTTCCAGTGCACATCAGCTTGTAAATGAAACCGTACGTGTTGTATTTAGCGGCCTCTATGTTTACTTCATGTGCATTGTGTTATTGTTCTTTTGTGCACATAAAAATCACACTGTAGGTTTAGAAATCTACAATATCTACCATATTGGAATTGGAAACAAATCAGTTTTCTGTCTCACAAATCAACAACAAAAACAAGAATCCTCAAAGATCCTGTCATATTCTTTTAACCGCCAGCTTCCTTTGATAAAGTAGGGCTTCAGCATGTCATTGTTGCGTGCTCGGCCCTGAGGTGACCCGTATGCAGCAGCCTTCAGAGGCTTGTTGTGGGAGGGATATCTGTCACACATGACAGTGCATTATGGATTTGGTATTGATCGGGTTTATTGATTGATCTCCCTTTGGAGGAGAGGTGAAAGGTGAGCTGACAGGCCTCCCATGGGGCCGCTGCTTATTTCCACCCTCTGCAATACAAAGGGCCCCGGCAGTCATTCCCAAAGTGTGTTTAAAACCATTACACACACTACATAAATACTGTACACATTCTAGCGTTTAAGAACTTACTCTCTTAGTGATATAATAGTTTGTGTGTGTGTGTGTGTGTGTGTTGATGCAGTGATGGCTGTTGAACCAGCGCGTGCCAAGGCTTTGTTCCCACAAGCCCCTCTGGGTGACCTGGGGAGTCACCTTGGGGTGGCCTGTTATGTTGCGCAGCAGCCGGTGGGCCTTTCCATTTCCATGGTGACGTTCAGAGGGCCTTTGGCTGTACTATTAAATGCATGAATGGAGGTAGTCGTTTGGTTTTCATCAGGCAACACCTCACACACACACACGCAAAATGTGGAGATGTTAAGCTGCACTTGTTCACAGGAAGTCAGAAAAACTGCTGGCTTTTGCTCATTATCTCTGCACATATACAATGCCTGCATATGTATGTGTGTGTTTGTGTATGTGTGTGTGTATGTGTGTCATTGCAGGAAGTTCCATGACTCAGCAGTGATGAGAACAGGTTACAGCAGCTTGAATGCAACTAATTACCTATTAATGAGCGGTAGTGAATGGCTCCAAAAGGCCACCGTATGTCTTCCCTACAAACTGTAACAGGTGGACGTGAATCATCTCAGCAGAGACAATGCGAGAAATGTGATTCATCCTTTAAGATTAAAGAAGAGGGAGATAGCATCTGGTGTCTAAGTTTCACCTGTTAGTTTGTGTAATGATCATGGACAACATAAAAGCAGCGGCTGTCCACATTAATGCACACATACTGTTCATACAGACAACGTTCAGGACCCGTGTCTCCTCTAAGATGACAGCTCGGTGACCAACGGTACGTCTGTTACTTTTTTATTTACAGTGGCAGAAAACTGTGATAAGCGGAAGATCATTTTAATCACTAAAACAACAGTAACTTAAAGTAATTAATCCTTCATGTAGCAGTGAAAACATATCAAATGCTGGTTTAATTCCAAGGTTTCTGGTGTGGGAGCCATCTCTTATTCTGTCCGTTAATTTGAAAAGGTGAAAACTAAACCACCAAATTTTAACATGAGCCTTTAAGTTAAACATTCATTTGAAATATTTTACTTTCAATTTTAAGATGTACATGATATTTTAAGTAGCTCCAGTATTGAGGTATGTAATAGGTTCACCTACATTTGGATTAAATTAATTGATAAATTAATGTATTAATTAAAGGATGATAACAGATTAAGGGATTTTAATGGATTATCTGCATGGTTTAAAGGGTTTTCAACAGGTAAAAACACTTAAAGATATGTTATATATTAAGATATTTTCGCTAAATTATCTGCACAGTTAAAGAGATTTTTAAAACTGACTAGATACCAAAAAGCCATCCCTAACTTTTCACCTTAAAGATGTAAATTATGGATGACTTTAATGCTATTTGGTCAGTTTTAAAAACCCCTGTAACTGTGCAGATCATTTACTGAAAATATCTTAATATGTTACATATTAAGGCCTATACATTCCCCCCATACTTACCTTATCATTCTCAAAATGTATATATGGCATACAGTACCAGGTGACCTAGTATGTAATCATTATTCAATTAATAGAATGTGATATCAAAAACAGAGAATTTTGCCATTTCTGGGGTTGGACTATACTGCTAATATTAATTATTTTTATATAACTGATTTAACAAAGTGCTTGAAATGAACTTCATATGAGATTCATAAAACTCTCAGTGCTTCAGTATTGTAAAATCTTGCTTTTTTAAACAGTTGGTTCCTCTGAGTTATTTTATTTCCCATCGCACCATCAAATGTTCCCATTATTAGGCTATTTCTTACTTTTTACAATCTCATTTAACAAACTGTCTCTCTAAAATCTGTAAAATTACACTGTTCATTTCTAGTTTTTGTTCTTTCCCTTTATTTCTGCTGAATCAAATTGTGAGAATGTGCAGATTTCACTACAAATGTTGAAGCAAATTCATTTTGAAACATTTGCAAATAAATTCGGTGGATTATATGTGTTTTTTCAATATTAGATACATCCGTTTATATTGACATAAAGGCATACTTTATTTATACACATAGTTCCTTCTGAATTCGATTTATAAAAAATATCAACTTTAATTTAGCTGTTGCTGCAAAATACGGAGTAAGGAGTTTTAGCGTGTGTGTGTGTGTGTGGAGGGTGGCAGTGGGCGGGGTGATATAGGCTACTAATGCTGTATCGTCCAAAGCCCTGATTGGTCATTTTGTCAATTGTTTTGGCTCCTCATCTTATTGGACATGTGTGATTTATCTGCGATTGGAAATCACGTGGACTTGACCGAATATGTGTGTGTGTGTAGTGTGGGGGTTAGTAGAGGTAGGAGGGTCAATGGGGTTCTGCATATTGTGCAAGGAGAGAGCAGGAAGCAGGGAGGACGCATTCTTTCTCTGGAGGATTACACACACACACAGTCTCTCTCTCGTGCTGTGTGCTGTGTGTGTGTGTGTGAGGAGAGTTGGAGTACTGTGGTGTGTGTGTAAATCCTCCAGAGAAAGAATGCGTTCTCTCCCTGCTTCGCTGCTCTTTCTCCTGTGGTTCTATGTACATATATGCAACGAACCCCATGGTGACCCTCCTACCTCTACTAACCCCCCCCACGACTGACGGACACTGACTTACGAGGCAGTATCATCCACTCGACACTACCACACGACACACAAACAGCGTATATTCACGAGCACACTGACACACAACACTATCAGTATTCGGTCATAGTCCACGTGATTTCCAATCGCAGATTAATATTGCTTTACACATGTCCAATATATGATGATGATGCTCAAATAATCAAGTTGACATAATATGACCAATCAGGGCTTTGGGGGACGATGTATTATCAGCATAGGAGTGGCCCTTATTTATTCTACTCTGTCTGCGGCCACTTGCGCAGCCCCCACGACACACGGCTACGACACGCGCTAGTGATATTATCTCTTTTTACTTTCCCGTATTTGCGAGCATACATGCTAATATTGAAAAGTGTGATATTGGTATAATATTGAGGTATTTCTGGTGGAATTCAGAAGATATATCTATGTGTATTTAAAATTATATTATGTTATGTCCTTTTTTTATTGGTCAAGTAGGTAGATCAGTCGGAGTGGTTATTTTTGTCTAAGATATTGAAAAGATATGCACGAGGTATAATCCACCGATATTTTGATTGCATAGATGCTTTCAAAGAATTTGGCTTTCAACAATTTGTAGTGATAATATCTGCATCGATTCTCACATATTGTTGTTGTATGTTCAGCAGAAATAGATAGGGAAATGAATTATTCATGATAAATCTTATGAAATATGGTGAACAGTTAATTGTTACAGATTTTTTAGAGATGTATGCAGTTTTGTTATAATGTATGGATCTAATAAAAGTAATGAATAATATGTCCCTAATTTATATGGGTATATCATTTGTAATGATGTGTGCGGATTGTGGAATTTATATTTATAATAACTCAGTATGGTATACCAGACGGGGTTAAAAAAGCAAGATAGTGGTGTGTATCTGATAGTACTGATAGCACTGAGGTGGAGTATGTATATATCTTCATTATTGAATGTTTTTCTATTTTCAAGGCACTTCCTTTAGAATCTATGTTAGATAATAAATAATTTTATGATTATTATGCTAGTATAGTCCATACCCCAGATTTATTATTGTGCTATTAAATTCTCGGTTTGGTGTTTTGTGTTTGTAATATCACGATATGTCTGATTGTATGTATTGAGATTAAGACTTTTTATCTATTATATCTTAGGTCATCCTGGTACTGTATGTCTATTTTATATTGAATATCTATGTTTGAGATATTGATAAATGGTATATGTTTGTTTAATGGAGGGTAGATTTGTATAGGCCTGGTTTTTTGGTTAGTTGTTAATGCTAGTATTCTATATTATATTGAGTTTTCTTTCAGTAAATGATTTTTTTCTTTCGCTACATTTAGCAGGGGTTTTAAATATCTGACTCAAATATTCTCTATTGAAATTTCGTATT